GAACCCCACAACAGCCTGAGCCAGGCAGGGAGGGTGTGTCCGGTTCCCCAGCCAGGCCGCCTGGCCGGCTCGCGGCAGCTGGCGAGGGGCAGGCGGGGCTGCTGCTCTCGCCGAGCTCGCTGCCGCGGGTTCCCAAGCCGACCCGGCTTTCCTCCCCGCTGCCCAGGGCCGGGCCGGGGTCCAGCTCGCCCTCGGCTACAGCTGCCAGAGAGAGCAGCGGGGCGGAGGCGGCCCGGGCACCCCTGCAGCTGCGCAGCCGACGGCCCGGGAGGAGAGCTCAGGGCACGAGACCCTCGTTTCCAGGGTGGGCCGCGGCCCCCACACGCCATCCCCGGGTCGTTTTTATTCTTTGGTTTCGTCCTTCGTCCTTCTGGATTAAGCAGGAGTTTTTCTTTTCTTCGTTATTGTGGGGTCGCGTAAGGACGGTTAAGGGCGCACGGCGCGCATCAGGCCGTCAGGTGGATGGAGTTTTGCGCACGTGCTCACCTGTGTAGCGGCCACAGCCCCCATCGGGGCCCTCCCAGCCCGTCCCAGGCAGGGCCTCCCGGAGGTCACCCCGATTCTGGTTCCTGCCACCCTCGGCCAGTTTCGCTGGTTCTTGAATTTCGCGTCTGGAATCGTGCAGCCTGTGCCCCGTCGCTCACTATGGCTTTTCCCCAACGTGCCGTCTGCGAGGCGTCCACACCGGCACCCGCCGCCGCGGCGCACCCGCCCTGCCAGCACACGCAGGGGCCCGTCCTCGTGGGCGTGGGTGTTCGGGCACCGCCAGTTTTTGAGCAGTTTCCACGCCAGTGCGTGCCTGGTCCTCTCGCCGCGCGTCCCGACAGCACGTGGTGTGGCCGCCCGGCGGCCTGCATGGACTCGCCTCCTCCTTCGTGTCCCTCTCATCTTCCTGGTCCCCTGGTCCCCTTCTCCCGCGAAGCGCTTGCTCGTTCACGGCTTCTGCGCATTTAAAAATCAGGCCGTTGTCTCTTTTTAAAGAACGGTTTCTGAGAGTCCTTGTGTTCCTCGTCGAGTCTCCTCTCGAAGGCGTGCGTGGGAACAGCTTGCTCCGCGCTGCGATCCGCCCTTTTGCCCCCAGCGGTGTGTCCTGTGGAGTCCGGGGCAGCAACACTTCTGTGTTACGGGCAGGACTTTCGGAGTCCTCATAAGAAATAGCTGCCTACCTAACGTCGTGAAGATACGATTTTTTCCAGACACTTGACTGTTTTCCCATTCACTTTTAGCTCTTTGTGATTTATCTTGATTTCTGTGCCAGGCAAGAGGTTAGGATCAAGATTCTCTTTTATGTATCTAGATGTCTTCTGTGGATAAAGAACAGACACGGATTTTGTCGAAACTTGTCTTTTCCAGCACATGCTCCGTCTTGGGGACGATTTCACGCACGCTTGACTAGGATGCGCCCTCGGCAGGGGCCGGGCGGTGTCCCCGAGGCCAGGTTGGCTGATGTCACTCGAGTCCGTGCCGTTACTGGGTATCCTGCCTGCGTGTTCTCCGAGACCAGGCAGGGGAGTCACAGCGTCAGTGTCTGGGGAGTCTTCCATTTCTCTCTGCGTCTGTGGTCATTTGCTTTCTACATTTTGACGCAATTTTGTTCAGTACGTCTGAGTCCGGGTTGCACTGTCTCCTCCTCTTATCATGGGATTTCCTCTTTGTCTGTATTAATACCCCTTCCCTTAAATTCCACTGTTTCTGATATCAGCATGTCCATACCAGCCTCTTTGGTCACTGCTCGAAAGGTGTATGTCATTTTTCAACCTTTTACTTTCAATCTATTCCTTTCTTCCTTGATATTTAAAGTGGGTCTCATGTAAAAAGCAGATATTAATGGTAGGTCTTGCCTTTTGTGAGAATGCTTGTTCCGTCTACACTGAGTTTTCATTAAAACGGCTGGGGATAAGTCAGCCCTCGAGCTGTTTAATTTCTGCCTGTCCCACCCGCTCTTTGTTTAATAAACCTCCTCTTCGCCTTCCTGTGGATTAACCAACTATTCCTGATTATTCCCTTTTCTCTCCTACGCTCCCCTTCCAGCTATGCATTTTTGTATTGCTCTTTTCGTGGTTATGGTAAATATCACAATGTGCATCTTTGACTCCTTACAGTCAAAAGTTGTATTTTTGCCGTTTCCTGCACAATTTAAAAACATTTACTTCCTTCTCCCCTATTGTTCGTTCTTTCCTTCTGCGTGGCTTGCAACCCCCACAAGACATGGTGATTATCGTTGCTTTAAACTCTCGGTATTCTTTTGCATTTGTCCTCAGATTTGCTCTTTGTGGAGGTTTTTCATTCCTTTTGGAAGTTCTACAACTTCTGACGTCATTTTCTTTCAGCCCGAAAAAAAAATTTAATTTTTCTTGTAGCTTTGTTCTGCTGCTAAGGAATTTTCTCAGCTTCGGTTTGTCTTCACTTTTGAGAGCTATTTCACTGGATAGACTGTTTTCCCGCCAGCACTTGGCGGATGCTATTCCATCGCCCTGGGGCTTCCATCCTTCCTGCTGAACAGTTAGCCGGAAGTCTCAGCACTGCTTCTCCGAAACGATCTTTTTATCCCCTTAAGTGGCTTTTAAAGATTTTTTTCTGTTCTCCTTTTTAGAAGTTTACTTTATCGTGCCTAGATGTGGTTTTCTTTGTATTAAGTTTTTGGAGATTTTTAAAGTGCTAGCTTAGAGTCTTCCATCAATTCTGAAAAGTTCTCAGCCATTAATCTCTTCAAATATTGCTTCTGCTCCACTGTCTGGCTCCTCTCCTTGGGCTCCGACATCTGATTGTGTTTCACGTGTCCACTTGCTCTGCACTGGTTTTTTCCATTTTCCCCACCTGAGGCTGAACCTGGATATTTTTCTGTTGACCATCTAAGGTTTACCAGCTCTGTCTTCTGCCGTGTCCAGTCCGCTTTAAACCCCTCCAGTTCTAACTCCGGCGTCTGGACCTGGCATTTGTACAATACTTGAACCAGTGACTACGGAATACGCATCTTTTCAAGGGCCCACAGCAGACTATAAACCAAGTGTTAAATTTCGGAGGGTTGAAATCATGGAAAATACGGGATCTGACAAAAATGGAATTAAGCTAGAAACCAACAACAAAAAGACCATTGGGGATTTTATAAGATCCTTAAATGTTTGTGAATTAAGCAGCACATTTAAAAATAACTCATGGGTCAAAGATGATAGGACAATGGAAATTAGAAAAAATTCTACTGAATGAAAATTAAGATAAAATATTAAAACCTGTGAGGTTCAGCTAAGCAGTGCTTATTGGGAAATTTATACCTTTAAGCATGCATTTCAGGAATAATAAAGGTTGAAAACCAGTTTCAGATGAAAATCTAGTTTCATCTCAAGAGAAAGAACAGAAAATTCCAAAACTAAGTAGAAGGATAAACATAAAAAAAAATGTAAGAGCAGAAATAAACTAGAAAAAAAGTACAATAAAGAAAAATCATTAAAGCCAAAATTTTTCATTGATAAAATTGATAAACAACTACCAAATCTGATCAAGGGAAAAAATGAAAATGCAGTTTACCAACATCAGAAATGGAGTGGGGATGTCACCGCGGTGTCCGGAGACATTAGAAAGATGATGAAAGGACGTGATGAACAGCACCAGCCACTGGCAATCACGATGAAACGGACAAATTCTTTGAAAAACAGTTTGTTGAAACATACTAGGAAAGAGATTAGAAATTTTGAATAGTCTGTATTTTTTAAAGAAATTAAATCTGTAATTTTAAAAACTTTCCTACAAAGAAGAATCCAAGCCCATAATGGCTTTACTGGTACATTTTTCTAAACATTTAATAAAAAATTAATTCCAGGCTGGGCACAGGGGCTCACACCTGTAATCCCAGGGCCCTGGGAAGCCGAGGGAGGACGATCACTTGAGGTCAGGAATTTGAGAACAGCCTGAGCAAGAGCGAGACCCAGTCTCTACTAAAAATAGAAAAACTAGCCAGATGTGGTGGTGCACACCTGTAGTCCCAGCTACTCGGGAGGCTGAGGCAGGAGGATCACTTGAGCCCAGGAGTTTGAGGTTGCTGTGAGCTAGGCTGACACCACGGCACTCTAACCCGGGTGACAGAGCGAGACTCTGTCTCAAAAAAAAAAAAAACAAATTAATTCCAATGATCTACCGATGTTTTCATTTCAAGTAACAGAAAAGGATAGAATACTTTCTAATCATTTCATGAGGCCAGTAAAGTCTGATATCAAAACTTGAAAAGGGTATAATAACAGGAAATTATAGGCCAGTATTTCTCATGAAATCCTAACCAAAATATTATCATGTTGAACCAGTGATATGTGAATGACACAATACATTATAACCCAAAGGGCTTTGTTACGGGAATGCAAGGTTGGTTTAACATTCAAAAGTTTATCAGTGAATTTCATCACATTTTCAGCATAAAAAAGAAAAGCTATATGATCATCTCAGTGGATGCAAAAAATGGATGAAATTTAATACCTATCCATGTTAAATTTTTTTAAACAAATTAGTAAATTAAAAAAACCTTAATTTGATAAAGTTTATCTGTAAGAATCCTGCAGCTAACATATTTCTCAGTGGTTATATATTGAAAATGTTCCCCTTGAAATCAGAATGAGACAAAAATGTTTACATCAGAATTCTGTTTGGCACTGACTGAACAGAACTGTCTACTTTAACAGTACAGGAAAAATAAAGAAAAGACAGACCAGAAAGGAAGAGGTGAAGACTATTTGCAGATGATGTGACTGCACACATAGAAAATTTTAAGGGATTATAAAGTATTAGAATTGAGTGAATTTAGCAAGGTAATTATGTACAAGATTAATATGCAAAAGTCTATTTTATTTCTATGTTCTAGCAACAATTGTAAAATGAAATTCTAAAAACACAATTGTCAATAACATAAAATAGGAACAAATATCTAGAAATAAATCTAATGAAGCACATTTGAGGCCCTAAACCTAAAATTTAAAAATTAAAGTAAGAGATATTAAATACCTAAAAATGTGTGTATGTATATGTTTATATAAATATATATTATGACATATGTAATGTTCATGAATTAGAAGACTCAATAGTGTAGAGATGTTTGTTTTTCCCAGACTGATCCAAAGATTCAATGTAATTCTAATCAAATTCCCTCCAGGGATTTGGGGGGGTGGGGCAAGAGGAATTCACAAACTGATCTCTACAGAAACTTGAATGATTTCAGAAAAGCCAAGACAAGCTTGATCAAGAAAAACAAAATTAGAGGACTTATGCTCCTAACTTCCAGACTTCCTCTGAATCTACAATAATCAAGACAGTGTGGTTCTGGGATAAGATGGGTAAACAGACCGACGTAACCGTGATTTAGACGTGTGACGTTGGGATAAGAGCTAAACAGGTGAAGGTGACAGAGCAGAGTCTAGAGAGACCCTCACGTGCACGGCCAGTTGATCGAAGATCGAGCTGCTGCAATCCACTGGACGCGGGTTGGTCTTTTCACTAAATCGTGCTTGAGCAATGGGCACCCGTATGAAAAAAATGTGCCTTGAATCTTGCTTCGTAAATACACAAAAATCAATATGAAACATATCCTGTGATACGTGAAAGTCAAAAAAATGAGAAACCATTGGAATGTGTGTTCAGGAACAGGCAAAGATTTCTCAAACAGATCACTAAGAGCACTAACCGTAATAGGAAAAAAAATCAATAAACTGCACTTTATTAAGAACTCTGCTTATGAAAAAAACACTATAAAAAGGATGAAAAGAGCCACACAACTGGAAGGATATAGTTACGGCACGTGCCGTGTGTCCATCAGAGGCCTCCTGCCTGGCAGACACGAGGAATGCCCGTAAACCAGTCAGCAGAGAGAAACAGTCGGGGTGCAAATGTTCGAAAGACCTGGACAAGCACTTCCCAAAAGACGACGTCCAGGTGGCCGGGGAGCGCGCGGGCAGGCGCTCCCCGCCATCGCTCATCGGAGAAGTGTGAGTGAAAGCCGCAGTGCGGTGTGTCACGCCCACCAGGATGGCCGGAATTGAAGCTACGTGGGGCCACCAGAACCCCCACACGCTGCTGCGGGGCGTCAGTTGGCGGGTCCCCTTCTGAAAAGCCTTTGACCGTTCCTTATAAATTTAGGCGTCTACGTACCCTGCGACCCGGCTCTTCCATTCCCAGGCATTATCCAGGAGAAATGGACACACATCCTCATGGAGCCAGCGCCTCGTTGATGACAGCCCAAACCTGGGCAGTCGGAGGAAGGGCTGACGGGCAACAGCCTGGACGGCCCATGTGGGAGAGGCGAGCCGGACGCAGCGAGCACGTGCTGAGAATTCCGGGACGGGCAAAACCCATCCGCAGCGACAGGAGGTCAGAATGGGGCCTCGTTAGTTCCCGTCGGCTGGGACGGCAGGCCAGGGACGCTTTGAGGAGCCAGAAGGGGCCGTGTCTTGCTCTGGGTGCCGTCCCACGAGCATACCTTTGTACAAGTTGTCAAACCGCTTTTTCAGGCACGGCTGCGCGCTCTGCGTTTCCCTGGGCCTCAGTGGAAGAAGTGCCAGGAGTCACCACGAGGTGGCAGCACGAGACCCCACGCGGCCCCGCAGCTGCCCCGTCCCAAATCTCTCAGGAGGGCGACGCCGGGTGGCACTTCCTGGCCCTCGCCGACGTGTCCCTCCTGGAGCCCCCGGTGCTTTGGGAAGTGCCGTCCTCACGGCGGGGAGCGGGATGCCCAGCAGGGTGCCTGCGTCGGCCCTGTCATCATCAGCGTCCGGTCACCGTGGGGCGCGGTGGCCCCCAAAGCTTTGCCGGGCTCGTGAACGGCCCACGTGCTCCCAGCCCTCTCTCCCCGAGCAGGGGCAGCGTAAGGTTGTACCGGGACGCCGCGTGAACTTGCCGTTGCGGGTGGTCCTGCCCCGCGCCCTCTACACCAGGCGGGGACCTCCCCGCAGGACCCAAGCCCGTCCTCTCTGAGCTGAAGTCTCAACAGCACCGTGTCAGCAGGAGCTGGTCCCCTGGTGGCTGTGGCCATGACTGGCACGGTGGACGTCACTGGCGCCCGGCCTCACGTACACCAGGACGGTCGGGGCCAGTCTCTGGCAGGCCAGACAGGGACGTCACGGGGGCACTGGGGGCCGTGTCCTGGCCAGGCCGAGCTGGCCTGGGGTCAGATCTGGCGTGGTGCTCACCACAGAGGGGTGGGTGGCCTTGCGTGGTGCTTGGCCAGCGCTGGCAGGACACGGCCCTAGCAGGTCACCTCCGCCCGCACCCAGGGAGGAGCCTGTCCCTGCTGGGGCCACGCCCGTCCACCCCCGCTGCGGCTCTCACAGTGGGGCCTCTCCCACAGCTCCAGGCCCGCGCCAGTCTCACTTTCCCTGCAGCTGCCCCGCAGCAGGTGTGAGTGGAGCACAGATGTCCCGGGTCCCGTGGGCGCTGCTTCTCTACCCCAGCCCGGGCCATCGGCAGGGCTCCTGGCTGCCCACCTGCCACCTCCGTGCTGCAGCCACCTTGTCAGGAGGTCGGGGGCCCCGCGCCGCACCTTCTCTCCATGGTGCTGGGTCTGCCCACGCGTGGAGCGTCCGAGGGGCGTGGGGGCGGCTGCCGGTGCTAGGATGGGCTTCCCTCCCCCAGGCAGCACGGATGCACCCTGAGCTCTCGAAGCCACTCGAACAGTCCTACCAAGCCCCTTCCTTATTCCCTTAAATTATGATGACTTGAGTCAGGCCCACGGCCGCCACGACTCTGCGAAGCCACCAGCAGGGTCCTGGTCAGACTGACTGTCCAGCTTGCGCGACGTTGAGCTGGAAGCTGATGGGGGCACAGGCAGGCCGGGCACAAGGACCCGCCTGCCTCCACTGCGGTTTTCACAAGGCCCAGGCCTGGTGCTCCTTGGGGTGTGCATGCTGGTCCCGATCCACTAATTGGGGTCCCCGTTGTTGGGTCGTGGTCTCAGGGGTCCCTCCGCTCGGCAGAGCCGAGGTCCTGGGCCTGCCCCAGCCCTTTCCGCCGGGTGGGCTTAGACCGTCCTAGAGCCGCAGCGCCCGCGTGGTCAGCGGAGTCTCACGCACCTTCTGCATCTTGCTTTGTAGCGGCGATGCTTTCATCTCCAATGCAAGGAATTACTTTTCGCCGTGCCAGGCTCTGCTGAGTAAAATCACGTCCGTGAACCCTCAGCTGGAGATCGACGGGCTGCGGAACGTCTGGATTGTAAAGCCCGCGGCCAAGTCCCGGGGCCGAGGTGAGTCCCCTGCTGTGGGCGCTGCCCGAGTGCACGAGTTCACCGCCGCCAGGGCCGCCAGCCTGGTGCCAGCCGGGAGGAACGGGGACACAGGTGCCCAGGCTGTGGGCTCAGGACTCGTGCACACCTGGGCGGTCCTGGGGGAAGAGGTGTCTTCGTGGCTCACGTTCAGTCGCAAACCTGGGTTCAAGTTTGCTAATTAATTAGGGCTCCTCATTTGTATTCGTAAGTTGAACTTGTCTGTAGTTTTCCTTTTGTATTGTCTTGTTCGACTTTGGCACCAGGCTTAGCCTCACAGAGGGGCGGAGGGCTTTCATCTGAGGAGGGATGGCGTTCCCATGCCTTGGATCCACTCTAGAGCTCCCTGTCAATCCCAGGGTCTCTCTTGGGGGTAGATCCTTAACGCCTTTTCCGGTTATCTGTGTTTCTACCTCGTCTTCCTGAATTGCAGCTACCACGGCATTCTCTTTTTTATTCCTAACGGTAAGTGCCGTGTGTCCTATTTTAAACAAACAAATAAACAAACAAACAAAAAACACGCCCCCTCCAAAAAAAACCCAGAACTTCAAGGTGGTTTTCTAATCTTATTCATGTTTCCAAAGAACCAACTTTTGGTTGCATTTCTTCAATTTTCCTCAGTGATGTTTTCCATCCTATCTCTGACTTAAATGCTAAACTCTTATTTCCAATCTTTCTTGTGCAATAATAAAAGCTTTAAGTATATGAAATTTCCTCTGAATATGGCTTTAGCTGCGTCCTCTTGTTTCTGTTACATAATGTTGTCATTTTCCTTGGTATCTAATAGGCTTTACTTTTAGTTTGGATATTGTTTGCCTCTTGAGTTATTTTGAAGAGTTTTTTAAAAATTCACAAGTGGTTAATTATTACGATTTTAAAAAAAAAATTGTTAAAAAATGTATTGCATTCAGTCCTAAACATCTTCTGTCTGGAAAGATTCTCTTCTCTGCGCGTGGGCGGCCCACACCCTGGGTGCCCTGCAGACCTTCAGGCCTCTTGCCGGCTCTCCCCACTGTGCCCTGCCTGGCCGTGTTGGTGGGCTCTGCCTTGGGCTCTGTCCTGAGCCCACGCCTCTTCCCAAGCAGCATTTGCCTCCCCCGTCCATCTGGCCAGATCTTCCTCCCACTGCAGACACCTGCGTCAGCAGGGCCACTCCACGGACACCTCCAACCCACCTGTTCACAACCAAATGCACCTCTCCGCCCAGTCGCGGGCTGTGCCCTTCCCTACTTGTGGCTGGCCCACCTGCGCCGGCCCGGGGTGGCTTCCGTGGTTTGCTGCTGGGTCCTAAGCTTTTGTTTGAGGGTGGCAAGGTCTCAACTTACTACAATGGAAGAAACGAAAGTCTGGTATTTTTGAACGAAACTGTAGACAGGGCCCCTCCACCCTTGTATCAGTCAGAGCAGACCAGTGGTGCCACGTAACAAAAGCACCAAAGTCTCGGTGGCTCTCGGCAAGAGCAGCTTCTCTCTCACACCAGCCCTTGAGCTTCGGGGCTGTCACAGCAGAGCGAGAGTGGCTGGCACTTGATGCTGCAGCTCAGAGTGACGCGGGCGCTTCTGCTCACGTCACCGGTTTCCACGAGCCAGGTGGGCTGGCTCTGCGTTTGACGCTGGGAAGCTGTAAAGCCGCCTGCACCAGCAGGGGAGAACCGGGCGGGGTGAGGGCCAGTGTCCCGCCCTGCCCCTTCCTGGCTCCTCCCAGGCACCCTGGAGTGTCACCCCTCACAGGACTGTGAGGCCCCTCGGTGCTCACCCCTCACAGCCCTCAGAAGCCCCCCGCCCCTGCCTGGCAATGGCCCGGGGTCTGTAGCGCAGCCCCTGCTCCCGTGTTCCCACCACACCATGGAGCACAGCCCAGGGCTGCCTGCCTTTCAGAAGTGCCTCTGTCCCCATTCCTGTCCCATCACTGACCTTTGTGTCCTCTCTGGGGTTCTGGGTTGGCTCTGTTGGGGGAGAGTGTGGGGGTGGCCTCCACTGAGCACCGCCTTCCCTGCCCAGCCTGGCCGCACCACCCCCGGGTCTGGCCCAAAGCTGTGCCCCGGGGTTGACCGGCGGCCTCTTGCAGACATAGTGTGCATGGACCGCGTGGAGGACATCCTGGAGCTGGTGGCCGCAGACCAGCCTCCCGCCAGGGACAAGTGGGTGGTGCAGAAGTACATCGAGACGCCCATGCTCATCTACGACACCAAGTTCGACATCAGGCAGTGGTTCCTCGTCACGGACTGGAACCCGCTGACCATCTGGTTCTACAAGGAGAGCTACCTGCGGTTCTCCACCCAGCGCTTCTCCCTGGACAACCTGGACAGGTCAGTGGGGGGGCTCCTCACCGTCACCCACCACCAGGAGAGGCGCAGATGGGGAAACTGAGGCTTGGGGAGATTAGTGGCCTCCCCAAGGGACAGGCCCAGGCCCGCTGGCCTTCAAAGCCAGTGCTCTATGCCCCACGATGTGTGTATCTTCTCCAGAAAATCTTAAAAGGCACCATTTGCCACGTTCCTGTGAGTGTGGGTGGCGTGGCAGCACCCTGGGCCCGAGTGCGGGGAGAGCGACACAGGGAGGGGCCGGGAACGGGGTGCCCAGGATGAACCCCTCCTCTCCGGGACCCCGAGTGTGCAGGGTGGTGGAAGCCTGTCTGTGAGCCCTCAGGAACCCGCTGTCCACACAGAGAGTCCCTGGGCCTCTCTGGGCTGAGGGCTTCCTCTGGCTGTTTTGTGACCTTCACTCAGCCTTGGGGCTGGAGGGTGTAGACACCGGGGCTGGGGGGTTGCACAGGAGTCAGTCAGAATCCTGGGGGTGCTGGAGGAGTTAACTCTGCCCCAGGCTAGGGGCTGCGGCCAAGCCTGGAGTCACACCTGGCAGGTCACACCTGGAGTCACACCTGGAGTCACACCTGGAGCAGGGCTGGAGAGGAGCTGGCTGGGGGCTCTGGTCAAGTGGGCCAGGAGGAGGGGTCCAGGAGGAGAAGAGGAGCTCCTGGCAGTGAGAAGCCCAGGGACTCCTGCAGCCCGCACACCTGGCCGCACCCAGCTGGGAGCGGTGTGCCCCACAAGTCTCCCTCTCTGAGCTGTTTCTCCATCTGGGACCGTAACGCTCATCCTAGGAGACGTGAGATTCCCGGAAACCGTGTCTGAATGGGTGCAGCCCAGTGGCATGTACTGACAAAATTAAATAGTTAGATGTCAGCATTGTAGGTCCATGACCCTCAAACTACTATTTTTATTTAGGTCATTAAATATGAAATGTCTGATTTCAAATCAAAAGTGTAGTTTATTAAATCTCAAACAAGAAGTAGTGCGATTAAACAAAGCGTGCGCCTAAACTATGGACACAGTTTTGCCATTTTAACGGTAGTTTGTTTATGCCAGCAGCGAAGAAGCCTGGAGAGCTAGTGGTGATGAAATCGGGAAAGGTGTTTTCCACAGCTTGTGGAGAATTGAATACTTTTCCTTGCAGTAAGTGGCCCAAAGCCTGGAAGAAGTGGTAGTCGGTTGGTGCAAGGTCTGGTGGATACCGTGGATGACAGAGAGTTTCTGAGTGCCGCTGCTGTGGTTCGAGCAGCGTTGTTTGTGCAACATGTGGTTGAGTGTTGTCTTGCAAGAGGATTGGCCTGTCTCTATTGACCAATCTCGGCTGCTTAATCACGAGCATCCTCATCATTTCATCCACCTGGTTGCAGTTGACATCCGCTGTAATTGACTGACCAGGTTTAGTCAGTCAATTAGTAATGTCAAACCTTGCTGCTAACTCACACATAGGTTGAGATGGATTCGCTTCCACTGCAGCTTTCAGCTCATCATTATCCTCCTTGGTCTCAGGTCACCCACATGGCTCCTTTTCAAGATTAAAATCACCAAAATGGAACTTCTCAAATCATCGACGTACTGTGTGTTCATTAGCCACATCCTTCCCAGACACTTCGTTGATACTTTGAGCTGTCTGCACTGCGTTGGTTCCATGACAGAGCTCATATTCAAAAGTAACATGAATTTTTGACTTACCCATGGTTTCACAAAAATTTCTCTAAAAAAAAAAAACGTGAAAGATAATCACAAGCCAAAATGTGTGTCTGCAAGACTGAGGCTGTACCTTCACAATGAACATAAAACAAGAAGTGTCACAGCGAAATGTCAGAAACATAACTGTCAAACTCAGTACTTAAGGACATCGGACATTTCATACTTAATAATCCAATACTTTTCAAAGCTCTCTCCTCTGTGCCTGTATCGTTCTTTTTCACCTGCTTCTAATGGACGTGTAACCAGCGCACAGTCACGGGGTCAGGCCCCCCCCCCCCGCCACCCCGAACAAGAGGGCAAATTCCCAGCCCAACAGCGCCTGCCTGCCAGGGCTACGGCTTAGACGGAAATGGCCTTGACCATATACACAGTATTTTATAATCTCCTAAAAGATGTTAGTTGTTCTAAATCCTGTTCAGATTACGGCAAGAGTGTAAATCAATTAATGGAAAGTTGTAGCTGGGTGACTCTTTCTCATCTGTCTCACCAGATCAGCCCTTCGAGGGCCAGCGTCCCTGTGCCATACGCAGATGGGGAAACTGAGGCAGAGGTTGTCACTTGCCAGAGGCTCCTCATCGGTGGCCCTGAGCGGTGATACAGTCCCTGGTGTCCCCGGGCTGGACTGGGCGCTGTCCGAGGCTGCTTCCGCGTGGGGCCCTGGCCAGCGGCCCTGCCGGCCTCACGCGGCCCGTTGCCTTGCAGTGCCGTCCACCTGTGCAACAGCTCCATCCAGAAGCACCTCAAGAACGACGAGACCCGCAGCCCCCTGCTGCCAGGGCACAACATGTGGACGAGTTCCAGGTTCCAGGAGTACCTGCAGAGGAGAGGCCGCGGGGCCGTGTGGGGCAGCATCATCTACCCGGCCATGAAGAGGGCCATCGCCAGCACCATGAGGGTGGCCCAGGACCACGTGGAGGCCCGAAAGAGCAGCTTCGAGCTCTACGGCGCCGACTTCATCCTCGGGAGGGACTTCAAGCCCTGGCTGATCGAGATCAACTCCAGCCCCACCATGCACCCCTCCACGCCGGTCACCGCCCAGCTGTGCGCCCAGGTGCAGGAGGACACCATCAAGGTGGTGGTGGACCGCAAGCTGGACCGCAACTGCGACATCGGCAACTTCGAGCTCTTGTGGAGACAGGTGAGCGGAGCGTCCACCCCTGCCGGGGCAGTGAGCGGCCCGGTCCACCGGGTGGGTTCGGTGGCCGCCCTGTGCTGCCGGCGCTGCTGCCTCCCGGTCACTGGGAGCCCCTCGTAGCTGCAGGCCGCCAGCCCCGCCGCTGTGGAGGACACGGGGAACGTGGTCTTGGCTGCTGGGACATGTGTGGGCCCAGTGGCCACCTGCTCCCCCGGGGGGGATCAGCCACCTCACTGGAGCCCAGGAGGGGCTTGCTCCAAATGCCCCAGGGGCCTCGCGGGTCCAGCCTTCCTGTCTCCTTCCCAGGCGCCCTCCCTCCTGGCCAGAGCGAAGCCGAGCCCCCCTCGGGGTCTGTCCCCGCAGGGCTGGGTGGTGGCTTTGCCTGGGTGGCTCGCTGGTGGGTCTAGCCCTGGCCTGGAGATGTGCGGGGCATCCCTGGAGGAGGGACCCCGGGGCTGCTGGCCCATCAGGAAGGGAGGCCATGCCTGTCTTCTCAGGCCGCGTGGGCGCGGGCAGGACCCAGGAAGGGCCCCGTGACCCCTGAGGCAGGCTCGGCTGCCTGTCCTGGCCCCCGCGGTCCCCACCGTCCTGGCTGCCAACCCAACCGTGCCCTCTTGCGCAGCCCGCCGTGGAGCTGCCGCCGTTCAGCCGGGCCGACCTGTGCGTGGAGGGCCTGGGCGTGCGGAAAGCCCGCAGGCCGGTGCTGCCCGTCTCCAGCTTCAGCTTCCCGCCTGCGCTCGCCGAGGCCCCGCCCCTGAGAGCGCAGTGCCCGCCGGCCTCGCCCCACGCAGCCCGGACACCCGCCCGCGCGGCCCTCACGCCGGACCGGAGGCCCAGGGACGAGAAGGGACTTCCCCGCGCGCTGCCCGTGCCCCCGCAGACGCCGCAGAGGAGCGGTGGCGCGAAGCCCGTCCTCGCCAGGCCTGGGGGGATGCCGGGGCTCGTCGCCAGCAACTGCCAGCTTGTAGGCGCTAAGGCCGCGACCACCAGCCTGCGCGCCCTGGTGCCCCTGGCGCAGGGGGCCCTGCCGCCCCGAGCTCCAGGTAAGCGCTGCGTCCCTGCCTGGGGCCACCTGCCGCCCCGTCCCCAGGAGGAGGCCTGGCGGTGACCTCTAGGGCTTCAGTGCCAACCCCTGCTGTGGCCAGTTAGAAACGCGGCCATGCGTCCGCACCCCATGCCCGCCCCAAGCTTCACCTGCATTTACAGCCGCTCCCATCCCTCAGGGCTCAGGGCATCGCTCCGCCTCCTCCCCACCATGGAGGAAGCGTCTTGCATGAGAGCCCTCCCTGGTGCTGTAAAGGCTGGGACGGCTGCTCCAGGGCAAGGCCCAGGGACGCTTGGGTCTGGGCATGGGTGTCTCCTGACAGTGCGGCCGAGCTTGGAGCAGGGTCGGGACATAGGGGCCCCGCCTGGGCTAGGGGTGGTGCTGGCCAAGGTGGGCCAGCCGCTGGGAGTTGGGGTGGTGGGCTCCCCTCCATAGGACCTGGTGGGTGGTGCCTTTGTCTCAGCACCTCTCGGCGTGGGGTGCGCCTTGGGGAATTCGGATCAGACCATTCGAACAGCCGGGCACCCGGGACAAGCCAGGTGGCGCACAACGGCCGGGCTCTTGTTCAGGTTTTGAGGGTTCTGAGGGAGCTCTGACCCGTGTGTGGCTCAGGGAGGGGTGCGACTCCGGCCCTGTCTGCACCCGGAGCTCCCACGCGCCTGGCAACCAGCAGGGCCAGAGCAGGGGTGGCAAAAAGACACAGGCGGACCTGGGCCCACCTTGTTCTTGTTCTGCCCAGATGCACTCGCCCCCGAACGGAATACCCCCATCTGCTGCTCCCTCCACCTGGGCGGGCTCTGGCTCTGTCTCTCTCTGTCTCTGTCTCTGTCTCTGTCTCTCTCCCCGCCAGATCGTAAGCTGGGGCGGGGGCACCTACTTCTGTTGTCTCCAGTGCGTCTGTAGCACTGGGACCGTGCCTGGCACACAGCAGGTGCTCAGTGTGTGCTGGACGCCCCTGGAGGGCTCCAGCGAGCGGGGCGTCAGCTTTCGGGGCTGGCGGTGCCCGTTGGGGACTTTGCCGGCCCTGCCTGTCTGAGCCTCCCCGTGTGGGTGCCTGCCAGGTTTCTGCTCTGACGGAAAATCATCTCGGGGAACAGCGTGTCGGGGGGGTCGGCAGCTTAACACCGTACCACGAACTGGGGGGCTTGAGACGGTAGGAATTTCTGTCACGGTTCTGGAGGCCAGAGGTCCGAAGTCCGGGCGTCGGCAGGACCGTGCCGCCCAGGGCTCTCGGGGAAGGCCCCCCGTGCCTCTTCCAGCTGCGGTGGCTGCCGACGAGCCCCGGCATCCCTGCAGCCTCTGCCGCATCCCCACACGGCGTCTTCCCTCCTTGCGTCTGTGTCCAGAGCTTTCTCTTCTAAGGGGGCAGCGGTCACGGGGGGGCGTCCCACTGCAGCAGACCCTCGCCACCGCTCACACCTGCAGAGGCCCCGTCTCCAAATAGGGTCGCACTCACAGGCCCCCGTGCACATGAGTCTGGGGGACACCCTCGACCCAGGACCCCAGGTGTTGCAGGTGTGGCCAAGGGACAAACTGATTCGCACTCTGACAGCGTCCCGGGAGTGGCTGCTGCTCCCGTCGCGGCCAGCGCGTGGCGTCGACAGGCGCCCCGGTGCTGCCTCTCTGGGGTGCAATGTGCTGTTTTAGGTTTTTCCACGTGCTAAGGCATCTGCTGGCCGTTCAGGGTCCCTCTCCTGAAAAGTGCCCACTCAGTCCTCTGTCAGCTGTCCACAGAGTCACGGGTCTCTCTTCCTCGTTCGCGGGGGTACTTGTCCAGGACTCTGTCCCTTTCCAGCTGGTCGTGCCGCAGATACCGTCTCCCACTTGGTGGCTTTTCTCCTCCCGCCACCGTGGTGTCTTCGATGTGCAGCCATCTTCGCTTTCACGAAACCAAAGGGATCCACCTTGCTCTCTGTGGCTGGTGATTTTCGTGGCTTGCTCACGAATGTCCTTACTCTGAGGTCGTGAAGGTGCCCGCCGCGGTGTCTTCCAGAAGCTGCTCTTCACGCCTAGGTCTGCGGGTGCACACAGGTCTCCTAGAGCGGATTTGTCGTGCGGGTGGGTGGGACAGTGTGATTTTTCACGTGGGCTCCCAACGGGCCCCAGGAGAAAGCCCCTCCCCCTCCTCTGCAGGCCCCCCGCTGCATACGCGGGGTCCGTCTCTGGACCCCCGGTCAGCTCCCGCGACCTGGCCCACGCCGCAACGTCCTCACCGTGTAGCTCTGTAGGACATCTCCAGGCCCAGCAGGCAAGTCCCACGTCTTGTTTTTCTTCCTTGGAAATGACTTGGGTGTTCTGACCCCCGTCCTTCTCTATAAATTGTAGAACCAGGCTGTCAGGATCCACCAAAAAATTCCAAAAATGAGCAATAAAACTACTGGAATTTTTATTGAGATTAAGTTAAATTCATGGACCAATTTGGGGAGAACTGACTTCTTCACAGTATTGGGTCTTCCAGTCTATGAACATGGTATGTCTCTATTTGTGTATCCTCTAATGTTTCTCAATAAACTCCTGTAATTTTCTTTGTAACAATCTTGTACTTTTCCGTTAGAGTCATCTTACGTAGGTTTTCATTTCATTCTATTATAAATGGTATCTTTTCATCAAAATTTTATTATTTCTGTAAATTACAGCTGGTTTGTAGAAATGGAATGGATTTTTTTAATCCAGTCATCTGGCTAGCCATTTTTATCAATTCTGTTAATTTATTTGAAGATTCATTTGTATTTCTCACATACATTTGGATGTTTTCAGTTATATCATCTAGTCAATTTTCTTTTTCCTTGTGATCATCCACTTTTCATTTCTTTTTCTTATTCCACTGCACTGTCTGGGACCTTATTTCATCCAGTCATTCGCTCGTTCTTCTCACCCCATCGGCCCCCAGGGACACACTATCTGATTAATCGCAGTTCTTGGTTCCTGACATACTTTTGTTGCTTATCCTTGCACGGCCGGCTTTTATTTAGGTGGTGTGATAGCGTCATAAGAACCTAAAAACTGTGGCCTACACCACTCTTAATGTCCACACTCGCCATGCCCTTGGCTTCCTTTTTAATTAGTTTTATTGCATCTATATATTTTATTTAAGAGATCTAAAAATTTTTAGCTGTTTTTACTTTTTAAAGGTTGTTACTTTTTAAATTTTTTTCTGTTGGTGTGTAGAATGTAACTAACATTTACATATTAATTTCTCAAATGGCCACATTTTAAAACTCTCTCATTATCTCTAAGAGTTTGTATGTATATTCTTTTGAGTTTTCTGTGTAAGCAGTCTATCGTGTGCAAATAGTTTTATGTTTTCCGTTCCGATCTTATTGCCTCTCATTTCTTAGTCTTGTCTTATTGTACCAGCTACATCCCACGCAACGTTAGGCATCCTTGTCTAATTCCTGATTTTAAAGAAAACATTTCTAATATTTCTCATTTATGATGAAACTTGCTCTAGGTCTTTATAAAGACCTGGAGATAGATGTGATATAAACATAGATATGAATGTATAGTTATTCTGGCATATTTAAAAGGTTTCTTTCTAATCTTTACTCACTGAGAATTCTTATCATGGTTGTGTGTTGAATTTTCTGAAAAACTTTTTTGTATTCATGAGGTTATCATAAGATTTTTCTCCTTTTTTCGATTAAAGTGGTGAATGACATAATCGATTTTTTTTAATGTTAAAGTAATCTTATATCCCAGGGTTTGACATATGGCTGAATTTGTTTATTGCATGTAGTTAAATGTTCTCAACCACGGCTGATTTATTCATACTACTGTTAATAGACGTTTACATTGTTTCTAATTCAGGCAAGTATTAATACAAGTAGTACTGCTGTGAACATTCTTTAATTTGGTGAACTTATATAGGCGTTTCTGTGGGAATGGAATTGCTAGGTCATGCATTCAGCTTTGGTAGACACTCCCAGGTAATTTCCCGTGGCGGATAAGCATTCCAGTTGCTCCGCACACTTGCTGATGCTAGCTATTCTCTCTCTGTCTCTAATTCTAGTCATTCTAGTAGATATGCAGTGAATTCACACTGTGGCTTCAATGTGGACTTCCCTGATAGCTAAAGAAGAAGAGCATCATTTTATATTTATGGTCCATTTGAATGCACTTTTGTAAAATGACATTTTTTTATTTGGACAGATTTTTCTGTTGGCCTGTTCTCATTGACTTGTAGGAACTCTTTACATATTCTGGACCCAAGTCCTTTGGTGGGCATATGTATTCCAGATATCTTCTCCCATGCTATGAGTTGCCTTTCCCTTGCAATGTTTTGATGCACAGAACTTACTAATTTCAGTATATTCCAAGATCAGCTTTTCTTTTATGACTAGCACTTTTTGTTTTCTGTTTGAGAAATCTTTGCCTAGCCCAAAATCATGAAAATAGTCACTTGCATTTTCTTCTAAAAGTTGTATTGTTTCACCTTTCACGTTTAGATCTGTGTTCCTCCTGGAATTGTTTTAGTGGGTGACGTTGGAATCAAGATCCATTATTTTTCTATATGGATACTCAACTGATTCCATACGGTATGTTGGAACCACCCTTCCCCCCGCACCATTATCATAAAACAGGTGCCTTTTGGACTCTGCTCTGTTCTGATTGTCTGTCTGTCTGTCCATGCCTATTAATCAGGTGTCTGCAGCGATAATGCTACATAACAAAGACCCTCCGCGTTCCACGGCTCGTTTCCCACAGGCCTGCGGGTCAGTTGCCGCTCTGCTGGGTGCCTCTGGGGGGCCGTGGGCCCCAGCTGCAGGCGGGTCCAGCCCTCGGCATGTCTCCTTCTTCTGGGGCCAGCGGATCCCCCGGCGTTGTCCCCACCTGGCAGATGGCAGGAGCGTGACAGGGGGAGCCAGACCACGCAAGCGCCCACTCACACGGTGCCCCCGGCCAGACTCACGTCACGGGCGAGGAAGGGCGCCCTGCAGCGGGGGTCGGGGGAGCGGGTGTGTTCTGAACAACGGTCACATACACCACAGCGCAGCCTCT